TAAACATCAGTGGCCGAGACATTATACAAAGAATAAGAAGACCAAAGAGAAGAGTTTATAAATCTAAACTATCAGTACCTCTTCAAAGATCTAGCAAAAAACTAAAACTGATATTAAAAGACAAAATTGCCTCAAAGGCCTACAACATCGGCATTAAAATAACACCAAAGATATTAAAAAACAACGTCATCAATATAAATGGACTTCTCAAAGAAACAAAAACACACATCTATGGCAGAAAAATCCCACTGCAAGAGCTGGTACAAAATGAATTACTTAAATTACACAATGCTAGTGTACTACGCATTACAACAGATCAGGAGTACAGTGACCTGGATTACCAAACAACTGTTCAGAAATTAAAAAAACATGGGATCGAATTCAATAACAACATGTCTCTCACAGATTTAACAAATCTGCTGAAGACCACGGAGAGGACAATTCACGTAAAAATGTGGCATGACCATTCGGACATTCTCAACCACACCTATATTAGTTTCATGGCATCATTGATTTACGACTCCGCCAACTTTTTGACAAATGATGAGTTAAAAATTATCGGACCAATGCAAAGCAAGCTAAATGCACAGACAATTGTTGAGAGACCAAATCTTCACATATTTGGCCAGTCAGGTAATTATAAAAAGAATTTGTAAGGGTTCCGAGGAACCCAGTGTCTCGCCTACTTTTGCTGCTAATAAAAAAAAAAATTAATAAAAATATTCCTCTCGATACTATTTTTTGATTGTAACAAGCTTCGGTCCAAGTTTGATAAAAATCCAGAATGGTTTATGAATTTAATACATGTTTTAAAAACTTTAACAGCAAACTGTATGTAATGTTTCCTTGCAGAAAAATTAAGTCCATTTATAAGTAAAATATGGAAAAAATGGATTTTTTTTAACAAAATTTATTTCTTGATACTATCTTATGATCATAAACGAGCCTCTGACCAAGTTTGGTAGAAATCCAGAATAAATTAAGAAAGTTATTTAAATTTCAAAAACTTTAACCACAGAGTGAATATTTGTGAACGCTTATGACGGAATGTAGGATCGCTATGTCTTCCTTTTTCAACAAAAGTCGAAGTCTCGACAAAAATCATTGAAATATAACATTGCTAAATTTAAAAGTCAAGAAAACAATTACCCTTTAACTTCGAATAATTCAACCACAATGGTATCCTTCCCAACATTTGGATACTCAATACAAATTTAGGCTTATACAATAAATGTCCAAACTTTGTTTAAGGATGTTCGCTACTCTTGTTTTTGACTTTTTGTCAGATATTCGGAATCCTCCAGTTTTATCCATGTAGTACCAATAAAAATTTTGCCCACTGACCCCTACTTTTCTTTTCATAATTTTATTGCATATAGTTTAAATAGTCATTTTTGAAAATTTTATAAAATCCTTGTTATTTTTTCACAGTTTTTGAAAGGAAAAAGGTGTCAATGTTAAATGTATGAAAAATCTAGAGAGAACCATTTCCCGCCAAATTTTCAATTGATTATATCTCAAAAACTAGAACACGGACCTATCATTTTTTTCTAATTTTTAAGTTTCCTTATTCAAATTCTATCAATCTATATCAGTCTTTTAAAAACCTTGTTATTATGAAACAGAGGAGCGAACATCCTTAAAAGACTTAATCAACTTATATTTGCCCCTGAAGACTAAAATAAATCAATCATCACATTACCAAAAAAGTTAGAAAATTAAAAAAAACACCCAGTGTTCACTGAAAGAAATATTTTGTAATCAACTAAATAAATATCAATTATAACAAGCATTCTGTGAGTATTGCATAGCAATACATAGTCCCTACCGGTTACAAATTCATTGTAATTGAACGAAATTCTAACTTGATCAATAACTTGTCATGGTGTAAACTACATAAAAATATCAAGTCAAAATCTTCAAGCATGACGAAAAAAACTGTTGAAAACTGATAATTCAACATGTTTTAGTGAATTTTCTATGTCCAAAGACCATAACTCTGCACAAAATTATCAGACTGGAACAAAATTCCAACTTGATCTGTAACTTGTCATGATAAAACTATATACTAATTATCAAATCAATATCTTCAAGAATGACAAACAAACCTAACACTAAATTCTTCAAACAATTTACCAAAGAAAAGGAAAAAAATCCAAACTGTCATTTTGTCTTTTAAAAATCTAATCTTGTAAAAAATGAGTTATTTCCCATAGAACAGAAATCTACTAATTAATAAGAATTTCATCAAAAATTTAAATCTAGGGAAAGGGCTTTAACTGAACAAAGAGAAAAGCTAAAATCGTGAAAATTGAACTTGACCTGTAACTTGTCACGATAAATCAATAAACCAAATATCAAATCAATATCTTCAAACACGAAGAAAAAAAGTCTGGAAAACTGATTTTGCCGGACTGACAGATGGACAGACTTCGTCGGTAGGGGACTAAAAAGTTTCATAAACCCCCTTAATGTCTTAAATTTTTTAAATAGTTTGGCAACATATATGCGCAATAGATAATAAGTATATAAACATATTCAAAATAGAACCAGAATAACAAATAGTAAATCTACCGTAGTATACATATTTATAGTATATAATATTGAAACAGAATTAAAAAAAAATGGACAGTTCTAAGCAACCTTACGTCAACATACAGCCTTCAAAAATGAGCAATAACATACTTTATAGCAATTTATGCAAGTTCCAAATGAGAAAAATGAAACAATAGACAGGTTACAAACACACAATACACACAAGATCTCAACACTATACAAATGGAAAACATGATCATACCACATCTGTAACATTATAATTATAAACAAAACAATAATCAAAATATATACTACACTACATCTAATGCTCCCATGAATATAGAAAATATATCATCTCTTAGAAATTATCAATCATCCTTGAACTTTGTGGGTGACTTTCCTTCAATATTTTTGTCCTGAACATGCATGAAATATTTGCCACTAGATAATAATATTCTCGTCCTGAACATGCATGAAATATTTGCCACTGGATATTAAGCAACCAACAATCAATTAATCAACCAATCCTTTAATAACCAGCAATTTGAGGCAATAAACAAATGTAAAACCTCAAAAAAATTAAAGGGAAAGAGAAATTTTCTTCAAAAGATAATACAAAATAGAACCAAAATTTACAAATAGTAAAACTACTATAGTATACATTTATTTCATAAAATACTGGAAAGTTCCAGACTTAGGAATTGGAAGATAACTGTATTGTATTTTAAGCTCCGACAGCTTCAATTGGTGATTAAATGGTAGCAAATGAAGTTTACTGGCAACGCGTTAGCAGAGCCAGTAAACATGTATTTGTGACCATCAAATCACCAATTGATGCCTTCGGAGCTTAAAATACAATACTGTTATCTCCATTCTAATGAAACCGACAGAAAACAACGTCAAATCATACATTTAAAATCTGTCATATATCGTCTGCGCTTGTGCATACGTTTGCATAGAGAATGAAAATTAGTGACGTTGTCGTCTGTCCAATTCATAATAAAAGTTACAATGTTGCATTAGAATTACAATTTTAGCCATGGAATAGTGCAGATACAAAAATATGTATAAATTTAAAATGATATTTTAGCAATACTACAAACTAAATTGACTTTCCCTTTTTTGCAGCTAGTACAAACAAAGAACAAATAACGTACGTTACAACAAGATGTGAGGATATTGAAAATCTAAGTCCAATCACACTAAATGGAATTGACCTGACTGTGAAACTTAGGATATTTTCTGGCGATAAACCTGCCCGCCAATTTGAAGCTGGCCAGCAGCGAGGGGGAAATTACGCATGCATTTGTGGCATTGAAACAATAGATCAAATAAATCTAATATCTTGCTTTAAAAAAAGAATTAGATCTCTGGAGGACAGGAGAAAAATAGTTGTTCAGGGGGAAGCCTGGAAGGAGTTGGAAAAAGGTAATCTAAACCCTTTTCAAAATATGTTAAAAGAAAATATTGAATATGAACTGGAAATACGTCAAATTGACACTACAAATCTGAACAGAATGGAAATGAAAGATAATCCTCTTACCAGTCTTGAAAATAAAACTTTAGAAAAATATGAAGTATTTGGTTGCGAACCTCTCCATGACGTAGCTGGTATGGTCAAAAATCTTATTGAGGAACTACCATCTCACATTGAAAATAAAAAAAATCAAAGCTGAATATGAAAGCTTTTCTAAAAATACAATTGGAGATCGAAACCAAATAAAAGGATCTGACGCAAGGTTGTTTGAAGTAAAATTAGCCAAATTTACTCTAACCCGTATGAAATTATAAGGCGTATTACGCCTGGAAATAAGGCGTAAACCAGGCGTAAGTGGTAGTTACGTGTCTAGATCCAGGCGTAAGGGAGCAGGAAACGTAAATTTGTAGTCCGTACGGGCGTAGAAAAAAGTGGTAAACCTGGCGTAAATTGAAATAAGCAAGGCGTAAATTTTCTTACGGGCGTGAAACTGTTGGTATGGGGTAAATCATAATACCCATAATGCTTTGTTTAAAGGATCATGGGAATTTTTTTTTCAAACTTTGGCGCTTTGGTTTTAGTTTGCAAGAGTTGGACTTAATGCAGCTTCATACATTCAGGGATAATTAGCTTGTTTTGTGCTTTTTGGAAGAATTTGGAAATATGGAATCAAATTGATTAATAAAAATTGTGAAAAAAATGGAAAGTAATACATGGTAAACATGGTAAATAATAATTATGTGAGTATATTACCTAAGTTATTAAGTTTTAAGTTCTAACAGTAATTTTGAAATCCCAAAACCTTTATCCTTGGATAATAACATTGAAATCTTTTGCATGAAGTTACATTGCAGTATTATCATTTATATTTTAAAGGACATTAATTTATAAAAAACTTAGTTAATCAAAATGAAGTTTTATTTCAAGAAAAATTAATTGTCATAATTCTTATTTAAACTTAAACTTATTTGAGCCAGTGGTTGTCTAAAATGTATTTATTTATATATTAGCTTCTTCAATGGTTAATATTTCCAGTTTTATTTCAAATAATGAGAAATTAAAGCAACAGTACAGAAGTTTGCATTAAATACACAAAAGTACACAGCTAGGGTAATACACTGATTTGAAATAAGTGTAGTATTATGTAAGGATATTACGCCTGGTTTATTTATTGACCAGGCGTACTCATTTGCATATTACGCCTGGTTTTCTCTGGACCAGGCGTACTCATTTAAATATTACGCCTAATTTTACGCCTGGTTTCCGCCTCAGTTACGCTTGGTTTCCGCCTGGTTTACGCCTGGTTGACGCCTGGACATGCATTCCTTAAACACTGCAATGACGCCCAGATAAAGTATAATTTTTACGCCTGGTTTCCGTGTCATATACGGGCGTCACAGTTCGTACAGGTAATAAAAAAAGTGAAGGAAAATTGGCTGAAGAATTTGTACAACTAATCACATCTTTAGTTGATATTTTAAATATTGCCTACAGTGGCTATGAACAGAGGTCTCCAAGACAGCTGCTGAGGCTCTACAACCAAACGTTTTTATTTGGAATTCTATGCAAAAAGGTTATTGGTAATCCTGTTAAAATGACAACCAGAAAATTTTATGGAGCTCACTTCCACTCAATTACAACCCATTTGGCCGAATTATACCGAATTATAAATACAAAATCAGTACTGACGGAGCAGGAAGAACGATCTTTTGGTGATCTTAGAAGGATTTCAGCAGGAACATCTAATAGAAAACCAGGCTGGATAGTTGATAATGCTGTTATAAGATTCATGGCACAGCAAAACACCTCAAATAGGGTTAATTCATTTGTCCACCAGGATTCCACTATTAAAAGACAAACAAGCCTTCTGCCAAAGCAACCTGACACAATTCTTTCTAATCACACTTTTAAGGACAGTCCTATGCTGTTTCAATCACACATGGAAAGAATTGCTGATTTCTTGGAACACGGGGAAAATGTTTGGTGGCACTTGGAGGGTACTGATGTTATCTTCCATGACAGTATTACACAGCCGGAGTCAAGGAACCAGGGCCCTTTTCTCCTTCATTTTCGCAGCTCTTCTTTGATATCTGCAATAGAAACAGTTGATGAAATATGGACAAGATGTGTGGATAAATTTGAAAAGAATGTAATAAAACTGCCAATGACCAAAGATAAAACCTACGAGAAAGGAAAACCAAAATGGGTGACACTAAGACCAAACACAGTCTATGAACAACACAGTAAGCATACAACCTTTCTTTTTTAACTTCACTTCGAGCGTCACTAATGAGTCTGGTGTAAAGAAAACATGCATCTGGTGTACAAAAAAAAGGTCAAGAGGCCCTATTCGCATATTTTTGTTTTTGGCATTAGAAAATTTAAATTGCCATTCATCACAAAAGATAATAAGTGAAGTCTGCAACATACTTAACAGAAAATATTGTAAAGATTTAATTGACCAAAGATATTTTGATTGGACATTTTTCAGACAAAAAGTTTTTAAATCTTATTAAAAAAATTATGTAAGAATGTGTTGTCGACAAAAATGCTCAAGCTCAAAGCATAAGATCTCAGCATAGTGTACGAGTTTCCTAAACTTTGGACGAGGCAAACTTAAGTTAGAATGCAGAAACGAAAAAAGTTACAATTTTCTAAGGTATAAAGTGATATAACTCTAGAACAGTTAATTACTCACTGCCCATAAACTTTGATATTTGAACTCTATCTGTATGTTTTGGTTCTAAGAATTGTGTATGAGTTTCATACAATTTGGATGAGCAAAACGCAAGTTAAAGAGTGCAGAAGGCAATTTTGAAAGAACGGTCAAGGGTACTGTAACACTTATATAATACATTGTAGCTCAAAACTGTCAAGTTCATAGTTATGAATATCAATTCAAATTCCCTTTTAATTTGTAGGTATCAATGATGACAATACCTCTGAATCTACATCTACAATACTATTAACAGGTTATGGACATTTACATGGAAGGGCTAATGAGTCTGCAAATGGTTCTCAGCAGATAAGCAAGGAAGTGATACATCCGGGTGATATATTTTTATAGAAGTCAGATAGTGGTGGGTTCAATCAATCACAATTCATACACCTTGAGAATTATCTTTATATCCCAATTGAACACTACAATGTATTATTATACCTCACATTATATAGTAACTATTTGATTGGCTAATATATAATCACGTGTCATAGTTTAAATTACATTTTTTTTCAAAAAATTGTAGCCCCCATCGAACAACCCATTTTTTTACCAGTGAATAACCAGACAAATTGAAGCCTCCATTGAAAAACCCTATTATTCCCCCTTGAATAACACTTGTCGTACCTCAATGATCACTAGTTAACTCCCTTTACAGTATGACTCCACTTAACGTCAGATAAACATAATCAAATATGGCTACGGCCAGGTTAGAAGTCCATCAAATGAAGAAGAAACAAGACCAAACAATACTTTGAAATTCCTCCAGCGGTGAAGATATCTCTTGTAAAAGGCCTCAAGGCCCTTTTCAGGACCATCTATATTTTAAAGAAAGAGTCTACCTTTGTTGTACATACATGAAATGTCAATAGACACAAAAAGTTTTTCTTAGGCAACCGTTTTGACAATCTGTTACAATATTATTGTAATTTGCTCTTTCGGTATAATAAAACAATTATGGCCCATTAAGTCGGTGAATATCCAAAATTGTCAACCAGAGTAAGGGTTATTCCCCTCGGGCTAAAGCCCGCATGGAATAACCCTTAGTCGTGAAGACAATTTTCGATATACACCTCCTCAGCGGGCCATAATTGTATAATGTTTAGGTTGTCAATATAATTTTTCATCTGTTCATACATTTACCAGTCAGTAATGTTTGACATGGTTGCAAGTCCTACCTTAAACATTTCTCTTTATTTATATTATTTATATTATCCTCTCTTTCTAGATGTGACCACTCCACCTAACAATGTCGAATTGCTGCAATCTGACCATGGCAGCTACACAAATAAATCAGAGCTGAAAAAAGATCAACATAACAAGAGAGGTAAATACTAGTACAAATAAAAATTATTTTCTTTTTCCTTATTGCCAATATAGTTTGTACTTTGATATTTAAAATATAAGGGACTAAAAATACTCAAGCAAATTTGTAAAATGTAACTTAATGAAAGATTTTGACTTTGAATTACAGCTTGAACATCTTAAAATCATATATCATTTGATTTCTGTTACATTGCAAATATTACATTAACAATATATAATTTACCGAACCATAAAGGTCGTGTGCTAATTTTCAAGTTGATATGACTTAAACTACCTTTTCACCAAAGAAATGTAATCCGATATAAGATGCAGAGACTGGTAAGCATAATGCCCCTCCATCATGTAATAAAAGGTGAGGGGGAATAAAACTAGAGGCTCTCAAGAGCCTGTGTCGCTCACCTGTATTTACTGATGCTTTGGAAATCATGTAAAATAAGGTTAAAATCATAATTAATAGTATTAGATATTAGATATTATAATGATATCTAAGATAATAACAAAAAACTGTAAAATTACTAACTCATGGGGCAGCAACCCAACAACGGGTTGTCGGATTTGTCTGAAAATTTCAGGGCAGATAAATCTAAATCTGATGAACATTTTTGCCACCTGTCAGATTTGCTCTAAATGCTTTAGTTTCAGAGATATAAACCAAAAACTGCATTTTACCCCTATGTTCTATTTTTATCCAAGTCGGCCATGATGGTTGGAAGGCGGGGTCATCGGACAATTTTTTTAAACTAGATACCCTAATAATGATTATGGCCAAGTATGGTCAAATTTGTCTCAGTAGTTTCAGAGAAGATTTTTGTAAAAGATTACAAAAATTTACGAAAAATTGTTAAAAATTGACTATAAAGGGCAATAACTCCTAAAGGGGTCGACTGACAGTTTTGGTCATCACAACTTATTTGTAGATCTTACTTTGCTGAACATTATTGCTGTTTACAGTTTATCTCTATCTATAATAATATTCAAGATAATAACCAAAAACTGCAAAATTTCCTTAAAATTACCAATTCAGGGGCAGCAACCCAACAACAGGTTGTCAGATTTGTCTGAAAATTTCAGGGCAGATAGATCTTGACCTGATAATCAGTTTTACTATGTCAGATTTACTCTAAATGCTTTGGTTTCAGAGATATAAGCCAAAATCTACATTTTACCCCTATGTTCTATTTTTAGCCATGGCCGCCATCTTGGTTGTTTGGCGGGGTCATCGGACACATTTTTAAACTAGATACCCTAATGATGATTGTGGCCAAGTTTGGTTAAATTTGGCCCAGTGGTTTCAGAGGAGAAGATTTTTGTAAAAAACTAACGACGACGACGACGGACGCCAAGTGATGAGAAAAGCTCGAAGGGCCAAGTGAGCTAAAAAATGTGATTCCTACCTTATAATCAATTTCAAATTCTTTTGCATCATTCATGTTAACCTTGTACATAACCATTTTTCTAGAAATGACTGCTCCACTGCAAATTGCCATTGACACCTGCACAATTGGATCAACAGACTTGGAAAAAGAAAAAGGAAAAAAAAATGGTAACTTCTGATAAAACTATTTATTATAGAAGTATAAGATCTTCTGATAAAAGTATTTATTATAGAAGTATAAGATCTTCTTATAAAACTATTTATTATAGAAGTATAAGATATTTGAAATACTGTAAACCAACTTATTTTCGCGTTTTAACCCTTCTTGACCACTTCGCGTATATTTAATTTTGCCATTTTCTGATTTACTGGATGAAGTTTAAGAAGGAAAGATCCAATTCTATCATATTCGCGACGATTTATATTTGCATTATTTTACTACTCGCGAAAGTCACGAAAATAAATCGCTCGTGAAAATAAGTTGGTTTACAGTACCTAGTCATATTCATCAAAAACTTAAGCCTTAAAATCATGTGTCCTGTAAAATTGGGGTCAACACATTTATATCTAACAAACAATTTAGAAATACCTCATCATAAGTTTCAAGTTGATGTGACTTTAAAACTACCTTGACCATAAATTAATTGTGATCTGGGATGACGAAAGAATTGAAATTGAGGCACATCCCAAAAATATAATGCCCCTCTCTTATTATTTGATATGCGGGTAATCTTTTTGTTGGCAGACCTTCAATCTAACAATTATATACATTTTTTTCAATTTGTTAACATAATTGGATAGGGTTTAAATACAAAGTTAATGCTTATGCTGTATCACAAAATTAGTGGTTGCTCACAGCTGTAAAATGTTAACAAATATTCCTGTCCTTTTTAGAAGAGACAACTTCACTTAACAACAAGGAATCTCTGCTATCTGACAAGGAAAGCTGTGTAAACATAAAAAAGAATGAGAGAGGTAAATAATCTTATAATTTCAGGGTTTATTTTCATTACATACATCATGTCCATGGAAAGCATTTATTTGAAAGATCTGTTATACTTTTTTCAGGAGCACAAGTTCATTAAGATTTTCTTTTGGTTTAAAACTTTGATCAATAAAGAATTATGGAATAATAGTTCTCTTTTAGCAGTCAGTTTGGTTTAATTTTGTCGAAATAAGCTGAAACAGATTGCTGGTAATATGACCATAGATTTCTTCGGAGATAACCTCAAATGTTAATTATATGGTGTATAGTCTAAAATGCAGATGGAATGCTGATATATTATAACTAGTTCATGCATAGATAATACTTTCCTTAGGACTTTTTGTAACTTGATAAGAATATTATAAATAAATGCAAGAATTTGAGTAGAATATGTGAACATTGATTTGACAGCTGAGCTAGAGTCATGTTAATTACTAGAATGATATTTTTTTCCAGGTATAAGGAACATTCACAATAACAGTGTAAAAGAAATGTACCGGTCTTACATCAAAGGTAAAGCTTAGGCTTGTTATATATATAAAGCTTCATATTGGTATAAAGAATGGAATTGTGATGTGTCAAAGAGATGTAGTATTTGAATAATATTTAAGAGTTCTGTATTTTTGTTATTTTACTTTTTAGCAACAGCCAGTTTAAAGAAACTAGAGGCTCTCAAGAGCCTGTGTCGCTCACCTGACTTTACTTTGGTTTTAGAAATCATGTAAAGATAGATAAAAATCATAACAGATACCCAAACAATTATTGAGGCCAAATTTGGTTTAATATTGGTCCCGTTATTTAATAAAATATCCTGGTGGCCATCTTGAACAGTAAATCGGCAACAAAGAAGCAACACTTGGTCAGCACCTCATAAGGACCATTCATGCCATGTTTGGTTTCATTCCATTCAGTGGTACTCTTAAAGAAGACATTTGTATGTATTTCCCATAGGGTCTTATGTTAAACTAAGTCCCCTGCTGGCGGCCATCTTGGATGATGGATCGGCTACAAAGTAACAACACTTAGTCAGCACCTCATAAGGAACATTCATGCCATGTTTGGTTTCATTCCATTCAGTGGTTCTCTAGAAGAAGTTCAAAATGTAAAAAGTTAACGACGACGGACGATGGACGCCAAGTGATGAGAAAAGCATACTTGGCCCTTTGGGCCAGGTGAGCTAAAAATCAATTATGAATGAATAAAATACTTCATAATAAATAAAATATCTTGCTGTACTGTCATCTAATACCTAGACATGTAAAAATAACTGACTTTTGATTTATAAGATGTTTGCACTTAACATATTATGTTGACTATTTCAAATAACTTAACATCCTTTTCAGTTATACAATGGAAAACAGTTGATGGCAAGAGTGAAGGGAACAAATCTACAACATGTACAAGTGTAAAAACAATCGGTATGTTTGTTTAACAAGTTTAAGTACTATTTAAGGTTATGCTGCACCAAACAAGCCAAATTAACAAAAAGCATCTTCATTGATCTTATCATGCTTATTGGAAAATGTAATATTTATAATTCATCAGAAAGCTTTGTTTTTATGAGGATTACACTTTTGAAATTCTATACTTAGTACTGTTACCTGATATTTGAGCTTTCCATGACCATATCCTAGTTTTATTTAGCAACTGTAGGCTGAAATGTTTGATGCTTTTTCAAGGTGTCTTTATTTTCTGCAAAGTCTGTCTTCAACCTTTTCAGTCACTATAAAGTGTTACAATTCAAATCTAACGCCACACATGGATAGTAAACAGAAAGGAACAGTTTTGCAAAATGCTGAAACAATTCATACAAAAATAGTACATACTATGGATTCATTTATTTTTGTTGGTATGAATTTCGTGGATTGATAAAAACTTGCATTTTCGTATATATTTGAATTCGTAGTTTTGCCAATGACTGCATACAATCTTATACAATTTTGTAATTTGTTGAATTTTTAAATTTGTGGTTGATCTGCATCCAGGAAAATTAGTACCCTACGAAAAATAATGAAGCCACAGTAGAATAAATATGTACAAGTATGAACATGTAATTTACAACGACGTGTACATGTATGCACATACATTTACAAGTGTGTTTACAAATGAATTCAGAACTGGACTCCTGATTAGGATTAATACATGTATCTTATGAGAGAAAAATAATTTTTAGAATGCCTCAGAAATCATTTTTCTTCATTAAAGGATAACAATGTTGCAGTACTAAAGTTACTTTTACCTGAATCTAGTTTTCTTGTGTAAACTTGAATATTTGATGTTCTTTTGTGTCTATTTTCTGCAAATTATTACTCTACAGCCTTTTCAGTCACTATGAAGTGTTACAATTTAAATGTAAGGCAACACATGGATAGTAAATATAAAGGTACAGCTTATCTTTGTAAAATGCTGAAACAAAAGTAACATGGTTATTTTTTAGTTAACAAAAATACAAACTATGTTTCTTCTATTGCTTGTTTTTTTTGAGAAATTCATCATACCAAATTAACATAATCAGATATATTTCATACTAACAAGGACTAAATAAATGATATAAATGAAAAGTCAGATGTAATTATATGAGGGCTTTCAATGTAGTCATTTGCACTGGTCATTTGTTTTGGTATTTAAAGGTATAGTTTAGAATATAGAACATGTATGTGTAGGATTTTTTTAAATGAATATAACAATTATATGGTTTGTTTACAAAACGATAAAAATTTACAGAATATCACTTTTATTTTAATTCAGATGCTAAGGGAAGTTACAGAAGTAATGTGAAAAGAAGATTATTTGAATGTAAGGTTAGTAGCTATTCATACATGTAAATGCATATAACATGTAACTGAATTTAAAAAATACTCTGAAAGGTTCTTTTAATTGTAAAAGGTAAAATTAACTTCAATCAAAACATGTAGCCCATTTGTGTTCCTCATCATTTTTTTGGTACCACTTTGGGCTATTTTGCAAACAGTATGTTCATAAATTGTTAGAATGACTTTAAACCCTTAATTTTTATTTGTGTCATTCTTTAAGCCATGAAAAGCCTCATCTCCAGAAGTGCAGATTTAAAATCTTCAATATCAAATTTTACATCTTATTTGTCATCAGGAACAATTAAAGTCAATGTGTAACATATCATAATTTCACGAATTTAAAAGCTTTGGTAGAGTCCATTGCCCCCCCCCCCCCCCCCTTCTTTTTTTTAATAACACCCTGATAAATGCTTTATGATCCCTAGGCCTGGAAAAGTCATTATTTCATGAGATATATACATGTATTAACCACTGAAAATAATGCTACATGTATAATGATATGTAATTTTTATGGTTTTGTTTTTCAATTCCTATACAGGCAATGATTCAGATATGGATCCATTTGGCCTAAATGACAATGAAGAGCTAGAAGATGAAACCTGTTCAAGCATTGTTTCTGCACAAAAAACCAACCAAACAGGTAAATATAACATCTGCAGTATTGACTATTGAAGTCTTTAGTTATGGTAGTAATGATGGTAAAATATAGCTCAACACCTCAAATCTGGTACAGATGTTATCATTAAAGTTTATGTTTAAATTTAGCCTGCTTGACACCATATACATGTGAGAGGCAGATTTAGCAGGGGGATTTGGTTGATTATATAGGGAATCACTGAAACATGACTTAAGCAGGCTCCCGCCTACACAACAAGTGAGTGGGCCCCCTCTTAAATTTCATAACAGACATTTATAAGTTGCCAACTAAAACTACTATGGTCAAAAAGATTGGACTTGACCAGAACAAATATCGACCCACCCCCATATATTTTTGAAGATTTAAAATGTATACATATTTCACAACATTTTACCTTTTTTTCAGATAAGATATCTGCAACCATACTTGTTGAAAATCTTCTTGGTTCAACAGATGATGTACAAAGTTTCCAAAAATACAGAAGAATGGCATGGGAACATCCTGGCAATAAATTCTATATGAGCCAATATGACATATCAAAAGCAAAAGTAGGGTTCAAACTGCTTGGTGTTTTCAACAGAATGAGGCAGTCCTGTAATGAAAATATGACATTAAGGTCGACGAATCAACAACTGAAAAACCTATTAGAGCACTGGGGAATTAGAACTAAGTACTGATGTAGAGAAAAGTCATTTTAACTAGTTGTATTTAGTATTCACTGTATATAATTGTACATAGACATATATATTTATAAAAAAAGAAACTTTTAAAAAACGGAAAGACAAAAAAAGAAGATAAAAGCAACATTTATAAATCATATAAATGTTGAATTTAAATTAATTTTATGTAACTTTTTTGTAACTTTTTTGTATAAAGCTTAAGTTTGAAAATAAAAGTCGAGCCTCATTTAGTTCATGTGCTTAAACATGTTAAAAGGACCATGTAAATATAAATTTAATAATTTTTTTCAAGTTGCAGTTAACTTTTCTCAATTTGAATATATGCATATAGCACAGTTAATTGATGATGGAAGTTTTGATCGAACGAATTGTTTAAATAGAAAATATAAACAAACATCGGATTGTTTACATAAACAATAATTGCCAATATTCATCATATGCATTGTAAATTTACAACTCAAATGGTCGCCTGGTTCCCTTTTAAATTGTCTTTATTTTACATTCGTTGAGGTACAAATCGATGTTGTCCCTATTAGATTCAATCATAAATTGTTTTTGTACTCTTGTCGCTTCAAAACTGTTCAAACATAATTACGAAATTCAATAAAATGTCGGCCATTAAAATTTTAATTTCGTTCCAAGGTAAATAACTCAAAATGGTCTTGACAAAAGACGACTTTCAGAACTGATATTAAAATTACGACGGAAAAGGGGCATGGCGCAATTCTTTTTCCTTAAAAGGGCAGGGCGTCAAGAAAACACTGCAGGGCACCATTGCACGCAAAAAACATGCAGGAAACACTATTGTCCCTTGTACATTTACTTCATATCCTATTAATTTTTTTTATCCACAATTTGCACAAATAAATCTCACCAGGATCATATATATCAGATATACTGTTTCAAGATCTCACCTTTGGTAATCCTGTATGTATATATACAAGTGAAAGAGGTTTATGGGGAATTTCATTATAACTGATTATTGTTGAAATATTTTAATATGATATGACTTTGAAACATGTAGTTATTTTAAAATCCATTTATGAATTTATCCGATTGAAATTTCCAGGGACCCACAAATATATGAACCATAATTTTTAATTCGAGTTTTGACTTAACTGAATGAGGTTCCACTGTTTATCAATACAAAAATTTAAATAAAGGTGGGTGGGTAATGCAGCCAAGCAAAAGCAGCAAAATAAAATGTTTGAATTTTAACTTATATCAAACAATTTATTTAACATTGCATAAAGCTTGCCAGTCACACGCCTGGGCAATAAAAGCCACAATAAATATTTCTACAGATCTATTCCCTTATTTACATGTATCTAGTTGCTTACATTCAATATATTTCACTTTCGACATTTATTGTGGTTTTTTAAAAATGCAGAGTGACCACGCACCATATACTTTCAGGCTAAACACATAATTATCAAAATATTTGGTACAAATTTAAATGTATGTACATAATCATAAGGTTACAGGTCGCAGGAAGGAATGTCTCCCTTCCTGGACACATTATTCTGATTCCCGGGATAACCAGTCTTTGCTCTTACTCTTTTTTTTTACCCAGTCGCTGTTCGAAGCTATGACCTCCTGCACTCAGGTTGAGCATGCTAACTGTTACACCACTTAGACAGTAGAGTCAAAATATAACAGATCTACCATTTTAATTTCATCATCCAGAGTTAATTTGATCATACTAAGGCTAAGTTCATGAACCGCACAAAATCTTGGTACACACTTATTTTACCTCATGCAACTATTCCAAATGAAGTATGAGAGATAAAATCCATTTTTTTAATTTGGGATAATGACGTAAAATTCTGTGAACCTGTATATTTAATGGTGTCATAAACAAGAAGATATATGTCAGTGACTGTATACCACAAATGATTATACGGTCAATCCAATATTTGACAGCGCAAATAGCACAGCTACAGTATATACTATAGGTTGACAATTCACCTAGACATCCTAAATTGACACATTGGTCAGTCAAGGGTGTAACTTAAATACGTAAGTTATTAGAGAAAAATAACATACATTTGTTATTGTGGGCTGAAAAATCAAAAATCTGTGATTACATATGTATGTTACATGTTTCAAAGGGGCAATATACATCCTATATTTTGTTAAATTGTATATACAAGTTCTTTTGATATTATAATTGTCTATATGTATACAAAACTTTAGAAAGATAAAACAGTCCATAGTTTGCCAATCATGCATAGTTCACCTATGTTATTACAGAAAATATATGCCTGTTATAACTAAAATGTGTTATAACAGCTTCTCTACATCTCTTCAAGGCCTTTTCTCAGACATATATCACAATATATGTTAATTTATTGTAATAAATAATGATCAGAGCATGTAATGAGGTTCTGCGCAAGCTTCCAAGTCATTCCTAAGTGTCTCATATAATAAGTTACATGCCTGTAATAACTAAGCCTTGTTATTACAGCTAAGTTTATCACTTAAAAGCTTGTCTCATTGATTTACCATGGTTGATCAAAAATGTATTAATTGAATTGGAAAATTAGTTTTCAAGGTTATGTATTAAGTTACTGCGCAAGTTTCAAGAATTCACAAGTGCAGTCTGCACGGTTAGCCACTTGTCCAAGGCACCAGACTAGTAACATTTCATTCGGACTAGTAAGTTTTTGAAAAACTTTGTTTGGACCAATAAGAAAAATGTCAGAATATTGGTCTTCGGACTAGTAGTTGAAAAATTTTTGGTGCAGACTGCAAGTGCCCACTGAAAATGAAAATTTTTATGATACATTTAACTGATAACAAACATGTGTTACTACAGATTAAGAAAAAAAGAGTAGACAACTCATGAAAGTATATGTAATAACCAGGGTTTCCCCTGGGTCAAATATTTTTTTCGCCTCCAAAAAACAACAATAAAATGAGTCTTTTAAACTTATCTTTTAGTCTACATTATAATGAATAAACACTATAAACATTTACTTTTTAAAAGATACTGTAAAAATAGCAATATAGAAATCATCAATTTGACTTCAGGGAACACAAGATTCATCTTCAATTAGTTAATCGGATATATATATTTCCCTTCCTGTTGAAGGATAAAGACTAAAGCCAGAGATTTTTCTTACTTTTGAACAAGTTTGGAACAACCCCCCAAATGCCGGATAACCTTAAATGGGGGACTGCCCCTCAGAAAAGGGATCATTCTGCTGTTGTAAAAAGGTATTGAGGGGTTATTCCCAACCTATTGAATATATTTCTTCATAACGACAGTTAGTCCAAGATTACTCTGACGTCCAACGGCTACTTTGCCAGACAAGCTGAGGCCGTTGGACGTCAAAGTAATCTCGAACTAAACAACAGTTTTCTTTTCTGGACCATCGTCAGTAAAAAAAAAATGCTTAAACCTCGTGCATCGTTAAAACGACTCTCAACTCAATTATCTATATCAAAGTTAAATAATAAAGTTTCAAGTCGGAGAATTTTCTTGCTTTTGAACATTGTTCGTCAGTTTTCTTTTCCGGACCATCTTTAAAAAAGGAAAGGAGATGTCAAAAGTTTGAATCAAACACGTGCGTCAAGTTGTTTATAAATCCTTTATGCGACATGTGATACGACGCCATTTAACCATATCATTAAAAAAAATTGTCGACAATACAATCAACACCTTTATTAATTAGTCCTTTGTTGTCTACAGCTAAAAAATGCAATCAGGTGATTACTGATTTTCTGTCAAAATCTTAACGAGTTCAAGGTGACTTCCGAGTATTGTCTGATCAGGCAAAGTCCGAAAAAACCCCAAAAAATAAATAAACAAGATTGACGAAATAAAATCGTTATATATATATATATCTTTAGCCAAATTCTTTCGCAAATAATGAATTTTAATCGCCACAATTATTATTTTTTCGCAAAATACGAAAATGGCAACCGCCAGCGGAAACCCTGGTAATAACACATGTATGTTTTTTTTTCTCTAATAATTTATTCAAGTTACACCTTTGACCGTTGGTTGGATTTTATGTGGTGACCTACTTGGAAGTATTAAAAAAATGGAAATTTGTGGAGAAAATCACAGCCGTGAACACCCCAAAAAATTACAAATTAGAAAAAAATTGAACATATTATATATATTTCAATATTCCCAAACAAGCTGAAAAAATGTGACCTATTCCAGCGGCACGTCACTTCACCTTGTATATTTTATAGGAACATTTTATTTAAATTGATAAAGGGCCAGACAATAAAAATATTTAATTAATAACTGGGGACATTTTAAGATGAGTATTTTTTTCTGTTGCCAAAACTTGGAA